GGGTGGCTCAGTGGTTGAACCCTGCCTTCTGCTCAGGGCGTGATCCTGGGGTCCTGGGATTGAGTCCCACATCAGGCTCCCTGCCTGGAGCCTCCTTCTCCCTCTGCCTGTGTCTCTGCCTCTCTCTGTATCTCTCATGAATAAATAAATAAAATATTAAAAAAAAAAAAGAGGCACACACTTTGCAAACACAAAAGAAAGAAGTCATGGGGACATAACATACAGCATGGTGACTACAATCAATAATATCATTGTGCGTACTGGAAGGCTGTCAAGAGTAGATCCTTTTTTTTTTTTAAACTTTTATTTATTTATTCATGAGAGACACAGAGAGAGAGGCAGAGACACAGGCAGAGGGAGAAGCAGGCTCCATGCAGGGAGTCCGACGGGGGACTCGATTGCGGATCCTGCGACATGACCCTAGCAGAAGGCAGACGCTCAACCACTGAGCCATGCAGGTGTCCCTCAAGAGTAGATCCTAAAAGTCAGCTTGGTATGGGGACAGACGGCAACCAGATTTACCGTGGTGATCCCCTTGCAGCGCCCACAGACGCCAAATCATGACCGTGTACACCTAAAACCACTATGATGTTACGGACCAATATACTCAATCAAAAAAATTTAAAGGAAAAAGAAGTAACAACCCAGTCATTTGGGTTAACAGTATCCCAAACCTCACAGCCTGTTGCTGACAACGATTTACTTCCAGGATTCATTAACAAACCCCTCCCGCTCCTGGAGAAGAAACATCTTTCCCCTCCGGTCAAGCAATAAAGTCACAGAAGGGGCCTCTGTGGACAAAGTTAATAAACAGCTAAGTCAGGAGAACAAACAAAACCAAATCAGGGCGGGGGGGGGGGGGAGGTGGGGGGGTGGCGGGGGAAGCAGGCTGCATAGCCCTGGAGTCTAACACCACTGGGCTCCGCCACTCCCCATCTGCCCAGCGGGTGGGCTGATTCACTTCCTGTGTCATGTCCAGGGGCAGGAGGCAGGAGAGGGGACAGGGGCCTGCAGAGGAGGACGGGCTGGGTCCTGAGGGCGCACACAAACCATTAGTCACTGGCCGGAAGGCTGCTGACCTTAATGGTGTGCTGACCACAGGCCTGTCCCCCCCCACCCCCCCGCCCCACCTTCTTATGTAACCCAAGGTCTGGAAGGCAAAGTGGACTTGGCCTTGGTGCTCAGCAAGACGCAGCAGCCCAGAGCCTCCCTTCCTCTCATAGCTCACGTCTCGCCCTACAAGCCCCTGGAACCCTACCCCCAGGCTCCTGGTGCATGCACAGCCCATACTTCTAAAACAGGGGCTAGCAAAAGGAAATGTGTGCCCCCCCCACTCTGCCGCCCTGAGGGTAATCACATGGGGGTCTTGAGGGATCATCCAACCCAGGGGTTCTCAGCCAGAGATGATTTTGCCTCCGGGGGACATTCAGCAACATCTGGCGACATCTTTGGTTGTCAAGACGGAAGAGAGAGGTGGTGCATCTGGGGTCCCGTGGGTAGGAGCCAAGGATGCTGCTGAGCATCCCATCACGCACAGGACAGCCCCCATGACATAGAACCCTCCAGAAGAACTATCCCAGACATCAGCCGTGCTGAGGCGAGGAACCCTGATCTAGGCTGAGCTGTCCTTCACAGATGAGGAAACTGAGGCCCAGGAATCGACTGGGCCAAAGTTGCACTGTGACGAGATAGTACCAGAACCAGAACCCAGTTCTTTGGAACTCCTGGGTGGCTCAGTGGTTGAGCATCTGCCTCTAGCTCAGGGCGTGATCCCAGAGTCCTGGGATCGAGTCCCACATCGGGCTCCCTGCATGGAGCCTGCTTCTCCCTCTGCCTGTTCTCTGCCTCTCTCTGTGTGTCTCATGAATAGATAAATAAAATCTTAAAAAAAAAAAAAAAAAAAAAAAGAATCCAGTTCCCGTCAGCCACACCAGCCTTCAGCTACCCGGAGTGCAGTGACCAACCCAGAGGCTGGCAGCAAGCTGGTCGAGGGGTCGAATGTGGGAGCGAGAGATCGAGAAGCCCATGATGGCTGGGCTCTGTGCCTCCGACGGGTTCCCAATCATCCCACCAAGGCCAGCGTGGCCACAGGGCTCCCGAATAATCAAAGGGGAAGAATGTCTCACGGGCTGTGGCGTGCCCAGGCATCATGCCCATCTGACACCTAAGCGGCATTCACTAGCTCCATGCCCACAGAGCACGCTGTGGGTGGCCCTGGCCTGCTTCAAGGCCAGGAGCGAGGACAGCTCTGTAGAATTAACCCTGCCTCCGAGGACACAGCGCCACTGTGCAGGCATTACACCTTGGATCACAGCTTTGGGGAACCCCACCTCTTCTCCTAGATCCTACAAACGATTATGTCGCACCTGCTGGCTTCTCACTGCCGCCTACGTAATTCCAATATAAAGTCTAGAGTCACCCTCGTCCTCTCCCCCAAGGAACCAGCACTGTGTCCCCACCCGTGAGCCAGGCACCAGGCGTCAGAGCTGAGAGGGCAACCCCATCACTGAAGAAGGACTGACTCACATTATGTCACAACAGGAGTACTTTTCCATCCCCTGTTGCTGAAAGCCACCAGACTTGTGGCGATGGCAGTGATAAAGAGAAGGCCAGGGGTCAGAAATGCATGAACTCCGTCTCAGGTCTGGGCCTCCTCCACTCCAGGGCAACGGAGCCCACAGAGAGCAGCTGGGGAGCAAGGACAGGGGGAGCTACAGTGGCTGGGGACACAGGAGTCACCACTACACATTCATGGCTTCCGACAAGTGTTACACATGTTCCCTCCACCTCCCTGTCCCTCCCTCCCCGATTTTTCCAAGCAGCTGGTAAACTCCTATACATCCTTAGAGGCACAATTTCTGGGTGTCTCCCCCCAACACCAAGGCCCAGGGGCATTCCCACTCTTAACTTGGCAAACCACAAAGACAACGGGCAAGGATTTGGGGGTCAGGAGAGGGGGAAGTAGCCAAAGCTCCCAACGAATCCACTGCGTGGGCCTGTACAAGGGGAGCTTCCTCTGTGAGTGGCCAGTGGCCCGCCATCCTGGCCTCGGGACTCTCCATCCGTCTGTCTGTGTGGCCTGCTGGGTGGTCGTGCCTGGCAACCAGCTAACGATTATGGAGTGCTCATCCTCAGTATTACAAACGTAACCATCCCCCTCCGAGCAATCAGGAAAGAGGGCAGCAGCTACATTTCCCCCAAGTGTGAGGAAATGTCCCACCTCCCCCCTACACCCTTGCCAGCTGCCTTGGAGAGTCTTCATGCCACACCTCTTCTCCAGATGACCCCAGGGTTGACAGACTTTTGCCTTAAAACACAGATAAAATTCCTTTGCTGAAAAGACAGCAGCTGGATGAAAGATGGGGGGGGGCGGGGGGGGCTGAAGCCGCTTGGCGCATGCCTAGGCATGTCCCATATTTTTGATCGCATGGAAAGTTCCAGCTTCTACGGCAGACCATCCCTGGACCTCTACCCTACCCCCACCGTCGACGGTTTCTCCACCCTGCGTATCCCTACACCTGTGGGTCCTGCAAGGAAACCGCTCTTATCAGGTTCCTAAGTGAGGCTTCAGAGCCCCAAGCTTCCGCCAGGACCTTGGGCGGAATAATGTCCTCACTCTTGGGCCCACACAGCTGGTCACACCTTCTCAGCCTGGTTTGTTATCCCTGGCCCAGTGATCTGGAGCTCCGTCCTTTCCCCCAGCGCTGCCAGGGGGCCCGGCGTTGGTTCTCCAGTGTCCTGGGAAAGGGGCACCGTGTTCACCACTAACCGAGGAACTGCCCACCTCTGGAGAGCAGCACTGCGAGTTCTCTTTTAGGGATGGGGTCTGATGGGGAGCACTCCTCCTTGGCTCTCTCAAATCATCCTGTGTTGGTGGCCGTCTGCTCAGCCGAGGAGCTGCCCTTCTATGTGACCTGAACATTCCTCCCAAGGCAGCTCTTAAGCACCTCGAACAGCCAGGCGTAGGAGACAGAAACCAGGCTAAAACAGCCAGGATATTAGACGGCGATAAATAGTATGGAAAATAGAAGGACGTGACCTCTAGTGTTCTTCCAGCTGAGATGTTCTGAGTCTAAAGCTCTTCCTCTACTGGGTTCTTGTTAAGACTCGGGAACTGGCAGTAGGAAGCTGGGCAGGGACGTACTACGTATGTGCAGGGACAGCTGGTGGTAGGACTACCTACGCTCTCACTGGCCTCTGCCAGGGAACAGAACTGACCAACTCTGAGGGCCCTGGTCTGTCCTGAGGCCAAAGCAGCCAGCTGGGTCTGCTGAGGAGTTCAGGGGTACGGGGTTCCAGGCAGGGCCTCAAAAGGCTTCAGAGCACTGCCATGGAAAGTCCTATACCCCTTGCTGGGCTTCCCCCACTAGACCGTGGCCTTGAATGAGCCAGACACTAACCATCTCCACCTCTAGGGACTCTCAGACCCCTCTGGTCTCCCCCTCCTGTAGCCTCCCCCATATGATAGAAGGATTATAAATGCCCATTTTCCACCAATTTTAGCAATTTCTCTTCCTGTAGAGACTGTTTTTGATCAGTGAACACTTCCTGCGAACCTACTGTATGCTCAGGATAGGGCCAGCTCTCTGAGGGAGACCAAGATGCGTGCATGGTCACTTCCCGGACTGAAGGCACAGCCCACGTGGGGAGGTCAGGTCAACACACATGCACAGAAGCCTACAGAGGGCCCTATGGATCACTCACTCATGAAATCACGCAGACTCTCTTGTGCCTATGCTACAGATGAGGAAACTGAGGCCCAGAAAAGCAAGTTCTCTGCTCTCAATCCATGGTTGCCCCCATGAACGGGTAAGGAGAGGGACGAGGCAAAGCAGAGTCATGGTTCCAATAAGATTTCCTGGAGAGCTGGGTAGGATGCTGGTGCACATGGGACAGGGCCCTCTGGCTCCCCGGACAGGGCCACGCTGGGCACGTAACCATCTCCCTCTGCTTCTCCTTGGCCTGATGCGAAGCGGGTCTGGGGTAAAGGGAAAGCCTACCTGTCTGGAAAAGCACATGGGATTATGGATGTGCTCGCTGATTTAGAAAGCATCGAACTGCCGCAAGTGGGTAAGGATGTCAAGACCCCTCGGTGGTGGTGGGCACCTTTCCAGTCCAACCATTCAGAGTACTTTCTTTCACTGCCAAGGGCACAGATGTGTCAACTGGAAAAGAATCCCTGTCGTTGAAGGTGAATTCATTCAGTTCTGTTGCGCACCTCCCGCGAGCCAGGTGAGCCAGGTGAGCCAGGTGAGCCAGGTACTGGGGCTAGAGAAGTGAGGCCCCCAAATGGGCGCCTGGTCCTCCTGCGTCCTACAGCTCGCCAGGGAGGAGTGCGCTGAGCACTTGTACTTCTCCGCGGAGGTGCTCTCTCCTGAACCACCTCTTCCAGGAGAAGAACCTCAAGGGGAGAGGGGAGAAGGCATGAACCCCAGCAGAAAAATGGAGAACCAACCATCCGGCTCTCGGAGACTGGTTTGAAGTTCAGATCTACCATTTTTTTCCCCAGCATATTACCTAACCTCTTTGAGCTCCCCCACCCCCCACCCCTTTTTTTTTTCATTTGCAAATGGAACAAGACCCAACTGCCTCACTGGTTTATTGTGGGGAGGAGATGAAATCAGGGAGGCGCCCCCAGGCGCGCACGGAGCCGGGCCCTCCTGGCAACCAAGGCTGCGGGCTGCGCGCTCGGCTCACCCGGGCCGCGGGGCGGGGGCTGCGGGGCTCTGGGGGTCCAGGGGGGTCCAGGCCCGCCGTCCCTCCCGCGCTCCTCTGCCTGCGGCTCGGGGGCCTCGAGGGGAGCCCCCGCGGGGGGGCGGGCGGACGCGCCGGGGTGTCCCCGCGGCTGGGCCCCCACGCCAGCACCCGGGAGACCCGCCCCGGCACGCGCACCCCTCCCGGCGCCGCGGGTCCCCCGCCTCCTCCGGCCGCCCCGGGGCGGCGGGGGGCGCGAAGGTAAAGGTCCCTCCCGGCCCGGCCCGCGGTCCCCATCGCGGGTCTCCGCGCAGGGCCTGCGGGAGGGCGAGACGCGCATCCCCCGAGTCCGCGGCCCCCGCGCGCCGCCCCGTCTGTGCACCTGCGCACCTGCGCGCCCGGGACCCCGGCGCCCGCTCCCCGACGGCGGCCCTCGGGAGTCCCGCGCTCGGTTACCTGGGCTCCGGGGGTCGCCCGCGGCCGGGACAGTCCTCCGGGCCGCCGCGGCCCCCAGCCACGCGGGCGCTGCACCTGGCCCGGCCGGTCGGCGCGCCTCCCCGCGGGTCCCGCCCCCGCCGGGGCCCTCCGGCGCAGGGCGGGGCGGGGCGCGCCGGGCCTGGGGGGCGGGGCCGAGGGCAGGGGCACCCCCACACCCCACACCCCCCGCGCCCGCCCGCGTGCCCCCGACGCCCGCCCCGCGCCCCGCTCGCCGCCCGAGGCGCCGCAGCATCCGCGCTGCAGGTGCAGTCGCGAGGGGCGCACGGGCCCTCCGGCCCCTGGACCCCTGGGCGCGCCCCACGGCCCCCACCCCCGCTCCGGCCCGAGGGCGGGCAGCCTGCCCTTCGGAAGAATGCGCGGGGTGGAGCCCAGGGAAGGGAAAGAAACAACAGGGTACCCGCAGCCCCACCCCGCCCCGCCTCCCCGCGCCCGCCCGGCTCTCTCCGGAATGCCCCTGCCCTGCCCAGCTCTGCCAACCTCAGCCTTGCCCAGGGCTCCGCTTGCTTCCCGGCGCTGGAAGGCGCTGGGCCTGGCTGTCTGCCACTCAGTGGACACGGCGAAGGAGTTGAAGGGACACGGGACAAAAAAAAAAAGCAACAGCCACGCAGCCTGTGTGGTGGCTACTCCCAGGTGCTGAAGGGACAGGTTGCAGCTACTTCCTGTCTGCCCCCTGCCCACCCACCCCCCAACGGGAATTCTGGAAAATGCTCCCTTTGGATAAAACTCCCAGACTGAAATGGGGGTTGTCCTTCCTCCCCCTCGCCCAGGCTTCCTGAGTCCTCTCTGCTTCCCGCCTTGCGGGACACAGTGGAAGGGGCACAGGCCTGGGAGCCCAGAGGCCTCCACTTAGCTCTGTGACCTTGGACCGGTCTCTATCCCTTTCTGAGCCTCAGTGTCCCCATTTGCTGCAGTTGATTATCTCTAAGGCCCTTTTTATGGATCCCGAATTGTGCTATTGGCATCTTGTGTAGGTTTTCCTGTAGCTTCGCCTCATAAAGGAGTGAGTGTATGTGCACGGGTCTCTGTCTAGACTGTCCTTTCAGGTGTAAGCTCTCGAAGGGAAGGGACGAGGCCACGCAATCAGGCAGCCAGCCTGTGCAAAGCGGAGCTTGACAAGACTGATCAGCGTAGGGAGAGCGGATCCCAGCCCCAGCTTTGGCTGAACACGGAGTGGCCTCGGACAAGTCCCTCGTTAATAACCCAAGGGTTTGGGGGACGAAATGACATAGGAGATGTGAAGCCCTTTGAAGGGGAAGGCAAGGCAAGGGGCTTTCTGACGTCATCTCTTGATGCCTGTGACAGTGATGGGCTCCGGAGGCAGAACAGGGTGTGAGGTGTTCTGTGTTCCCCACCCTGCAGAAGCTGCGCACTCAGGGAACAGAGACAGCCTCTGCACCCCCACCCCCACCCCCCACCCCCCACCCCCCGCAGGCTCCTGCCTGCTGCAGGGCTCTCAGGGACTGAAGAGGGAAGATTAAGAGTCTCCCAAAATCTGAAGGAGGGTGGTTTGTGGATTGCTCCTTAATTCAGCAGCATGTCTTGGCCAAACACCTGGTTGGCAGGTGCCGCAGCCCACCACGTCTGCTGCAGGGAGAGCCTAGCCTAGCCAAATGGCAGAACAGGAGCCCCCTGGAGAAGGATGTGGAGTGAAGAGGGCTGCTGTGGAGCATACAGGGAGGGCTTTCGACCACGTGGAGAAGAATAGGGAGTATTGGGCTCAACACCCCTCCAGAGAGGAGGAGTGATGTGCCCAAGATCACACGGTCAGCAAAGGTTGCGGAGCTAGGACTTGAACCAGGACGTCAGGACTCTGTACAGGGTTGGGGACCCAACCTGTGTGGCCCGAAAGAACTGGAAGCATGGGAAGGACTGGGAATGTTCCAGTGACTGAGAAGAATATTCTAGCCCAGGAGGAGGAGCTGAGCCAAGGTACAAAGATGGGGAGAGAGGGGAGGGTGCCAGAGTCCCAGGGAGGTTGTGCAAAGCCAGGCTGGGAACTGCAGACCTTGGAGGATTTTGAGGCCACACCAGTTGGGAGGTACAGGCACAGGACATTTCCTGGAGAGACACAGACCCCAAATTACCCCATGAGGCAGCAGATGCCACGTCAAGAAGGCAGTGAGGTGACATGGAAAGAGCACCAGGAGTCAGGCAGCCTGTATTCAAACGGCCTTGAGCAGCCGTTTCTCCTCGCTGACCCTCAGTTTTCTTACCTGTACGGTGGGGGTGGGGGGGTCAGCATCTTGTCCCCTGCAGGGTTATTGTGGTGACCACAGATTGCATTTGGAAGTGTGCTGTGCACTACAGAGTGCTGAGCGAATTAAAGGTTTTGTTGTTTTCTCTTCAAGGACCTCAGTGAACATTTGTGGAACTGACCCATGCTGGGCTGGGCGCTGCCTCTCTTCTTGGCAAGGAGAAGATGGGCCACAAAACGGGGTGCATCTGCAAGTGATCAGGGGGACCGTGGGAGGGGAAAGACAAGGGCTTGTCACTCAAGTGTCAGTTCTCCCTGGGACACTTTCACAACACGATGCAAATACCCTTTTGGGGAAGACGGTTCTTCTCCATCCATATGCCTTGGAGTCTCTCACCGCTCCCCTTGCCCTCCCTGGCACCTGGGTGTGCAGGGTGCCCAGTGTCAGAAGTCCTTCTCCCAGCCAGGAGCCTACTCCGCAGGGGGCTGGCCAACTCCTCCTGGAGGGGCCCAGATGTCTGTCCTCTTTGTCCCAAAGGCCTCATCAGACAGCAGGAACCGTGCACCTGCCTTTCACAGCAGGACTCAGGTGCCTCGTGCATTCTCCCTCCTCTCACGGCTGACCCTCACTCAGCTCCCAGGTTCTGTCCCTCCCCTCGGGTCCCCTGAGATGGAATCTTCAGGCCAGGCTTACGGCTCCACTTTGCAGATGAGAAAACTGAGGCCGCAGTCAGGGAGAGGGGTCAGCACTGCCCAACAGCACCTCTGGCAAAGCTCTTTCCTTGTTTCGTTGGGACTGGAAGTATTAGGCTCATCCCATGGGAGAAGAAGTGGCTGCTCAGGGGCACTGCATGATCGAGGAGGACTCCAAGAGCTTCCCTTTGGGCCACTGCGATCTGCACCTTGGCCTCCTAAGGCGGCCGAACAGATCACCACAGATGCAGAGGCCTAAAGTCGCAGAAATGTACTCTCCTGCTATCCTGGAGGCTAGAAGTCTCAAATCCAGGTGTCAGCAGGGCCACACACCCTTCGAAATTTCCATAGGACAGTGAGTCCTTGTCTCTTCCAGTTTCTCGGGGCTCCAGGGGGTTCTGGGCTTGTGGTGGCACGACTCCAGTCACACAGCCTTCTCCCCTGTGTCTGTCTCTCTGTGTCCTCTCTTATTTGTATAAGGGCTCACCACTGGCTTCAGGAGGAGCTCATCTCAAGATCCTTAACTACATCCGCAAAGACACTTTTTCCCAAATAAATTCACAGTCACAGGGACTGGAAGTTAGGACACGGTGTTGTCTTTTTAGGGGACACCGATCAGCCCAATACGATGTCTTTCCTCCTACTGGGGACCTTGCACGGTCCCTCAATTTCTCACCACCTCTCAGCTGCCTGGCAGAGGGACTCCTACGGCATGTTGCCCCACTAGGTTGTTTAGGGAGGAGATAGGAGGCTATAGCCACATGGGGACCTTGCTGGGGGCGTGAGTTGGGGGACTCACCTCCTTTGGATTCCTGTCCCAGCACCTCCCAGTCTGCCTATGGCTGTTTCAACAGCACCCTTTGTGCCTCTTTCTCTAACGCCTCTCCATTATGGGGTACCTATGGGAGAGATGCCCTCTAGGAGGACGTGCTCACCACCCCCTATGCCCCAGCCCCTCTGCTAATGCTGGGGGGGGGGGCTGACAGTCACCAAGCTGTGAGGAGTGACAAAGCTTTGCATTCCTTACAGAGATCTCAGACCCCCAGGCGACCCCTCCCCAGGTGTGGATGCGTTTTCAGAGCAGGATCGAGGGAGCTGGTCTGTGTGGAGGGGAAGATGCTGAGAGGGGAGGAGGGTGACCACCCCGTTCCCTCGCCCGGGGCCAGGGCCAGGCCACAGGACCATGCTTAGGGCCTGCACTCCTGCCTCCCCAGAGGAAGACCACAAGGGCTGTCATCTTGGATACCTGGAGGAAGCGCCAGGCTGCCCCACCGGGTGGGGTTCTCAGGGCCAGGATCCATCAAGAACCAGAGAGTCTGGAAGGGCCTTCTGGGTCATTTGACCTAAGGAGTAAAGATGCTCAGGGAGAAGCAGCAGAGACACCGTGAGGGAGCCCACAGACCACTGGTGTCTCACACGCGAGCATCCTAGGCCAGACCAGATCTGTGCGGCCCACAGGGGCCCGCAATCCACTCTACAAGGGGCTTGGGCCACCCCAGTTTGCAAGGGGAGGGCGACAGGACTGCAGCAGCAGAGAAGTGCACAGATCTGTTAGGGTGGAGGGTGTCTTTGGGTGACTGGGGGGGGGCACACATGGAGATGATAATGGGGATTAGCCCCCTGCTCCCCAAACACCATCATAACCCACAGTAACCTCTGTCTTCTCCTCATGGCCTCTGTCCCCGCATACAAAAATGACCTACCAAGAAAATGTAAGATCTAATCCAGTGGTTCTCAGTCCTGCCAGACGTCAGCACAGCCCCCAGTTGAATCCAAATCTCTGGAGGCGGGGCCTGGGGCTTCTTGAAGGTTCCCCAGGTGGTTCTGAGGAGTAGCCAGTGTGGAGAAATGTTAGTCCACCCCCTGGGGCTGCCTGACTCGCAGTGCGCCTAGAGAGCCGAGGCCACGGGTGTGTCCTCAGCAACCTGCCCGCAATGCCCTGGGTTGGGCCCAGCTCGTGGCAAATACCCACCCAGATATGGGGGAGCCTGCCCTGCCGGCTCCAGCGCCAGCATGCTGGTGTGCTTGCCCCAGCAGAGACTGAGCTGCACTTCCTACCTGAGTGGGGGGCCATCTGTGCACATGGCCAGCGCTTCCCTGGGTTTCTCCTTCTGCTGTCCCCCTGAGCTCCATGCACCAGGTGTGGACGCAGCACCTGCT